GTGTGTGTATATGTGTGTGAGAGAGTGTATGTTTACGTGTGTGTGTCTGTGTGTGTGTGTGTGTGTGTGTGTGTGTGTGTGTACATCCTATTATCTGCATCTCCTCAGCGTTTTGTGAAGAAACCAGATGGGGTCCATTCACACCACTCTGAGTTCTGGAGGCTCCCTGCAGCCACTTCTTGTTATCTTTTGTCACCAATCAAGTGCCATTCCCCCCTGCCCCTCCTCCCTCAATTTTCCTTCTTTTCCTCCCACCTCTCTGCCTCCGTTTGGGGCCGCCACTTTTGTTTTGTAGTACCTCAGTAGAAACCTTTGTAGACTTCATTGTCTCCCCTGAATACTCAATGATTTTTTGTGAGTAGGAATTAATAATAATAATGCATTTCATTTGTGTCTGTGTTAGCCATAGCTGGTCATGGAGACAGTTCGTTGGCCTGAAAAACGACCCCTGCACTGAACTGTAAGTGTAAATGTAAAGAAAATAACAACATAAAATAATAAAAGTCTTATTTAATTGAGATGAGATCTCAATAAGCACATTTTAAATGAAACGGTGAACTTTTTTTTTTATTGTCAGTCCAGATGTTTCCTGCAAATATGTATACCTGCCACTTAGTTTTACATTAATGTTTGAACATTAGGACGGAATTAGTTGCTATCAGGAACATTTATTACCAAAATATGTTAGACATACAAGGAATTTGACTTGGTGCATAACATCAGTGTCAATCAAGAACCTAAATTTCTATGCATCTTAATAATATTTCGCTTTTTGTGGCAGTTTCTGGCCCTTTTCTAATCTGAAAGTAGTGTGTGATATTACATCAGTATTTGTGGGATTCTTTGTTGTTTTTATGTCTATGTGTATGTGTTATACTTTCCAGTCTGGATGCTTGTGAAGAGGGCCCCCTGGTGCTCCGTCTCTCATGTGCTGGTTTTGAGGATATTCCTCAAAACCAGCATATTCCGCCTTGAGGATATTCCGCCTTCCTTCCTCCACTGCATTGGAAGAAAATTAACTCCAATAATACATTATTAAATTATTACAAAGTCCTAGAATACTGAAGTAAACTAACTTGAGAAAGAGATTCATCTTTGGAGTTTATGCTCTACTCAGTGTCTCAATCATCATAGAGTGTCACGGTTTGGGTTCACGTCTCGTTTTATTTTGTAGTTTCATGACTCTTGTGTCCCTTGGTTAACTTCACTTCCTGCCTTGTCCTGTCCCTTTCGTGTAAGGTCCTGGTATTTTTTGCCAATATTTTTATATTATCTTATTATTATTATTATCTTATTCTCTCGCCTTCTTTCCCTACATTCCACTTCCTTATGCCATACTTTTAAACAGTTGTGTTTCTTTATAAACTCCAAATCATTAGTTTTGCTTCTACTTTTGTACACAACTAAATGTCAAGTTAGTTTATGAATCATACAAAATAACAAAAGGAGCAAAGCGAGTTCAGTTTCTTTGCGTATTTATTCTGTAACGTTACTTAAGTTATATTTCAGGTTCATAACTTCACTTACAACTACGGGCAGGTGTGGGCCGATGAGCTGCCGTCAACAGTGCAGCGTCCCCCGGTAACTTGAGCTGGTCTTTGTGTATTTGTTATAAATGTGTGTTGGTACATTAATGTTCATAAAAACAGCACATGAACCCAGGCGTGGTTCAGGTGAGAGTCTGGGGCTGTACAGGGTTGGGGGGGATAACTGAGTTAAGAGCAGTTTAATCTAGCGTTTTATGTGCATTTAAAACACATCGGTTACTAACGTCACAGAACTTAAGCAATTTCATAAACTAAGATGTGATGTTATATATAACATTTCTATCGGTAGATATTCAACTGAATTCTATTACTTAACATTACATTTAAAAGTAACTCTTCCGCGCTGTCGGATCACCCGCCTCCGTCCTGAATAAATGAAATCCTCGTCGGCCCGCACTGCATGCTGGGATATGTGGGGCCGCAAAGGATAGATAAGATGTGTCCTCCAAATCGGCTCCTGGAGGGCGTCCCTCGACCGCGTTCGGAAGAGCCGACAGATTTGGATGGGCGAGTCAGCGGAAGTGACGTATCCGGTGGATGAATGCATCCTTAAGGATGCAGCGTAGCGACTTAGAGGCCTAGAGACACAGCCTCTGTCTTTTTTTGCATCCTCCCTCATGCTAACTGGGAGGTTGTAAGCATCATGAAACAAAGTACTATTATTTCCAATAAGTCTACAGTTGTGTTTTAATTGTATTGGTTTTGTCTAATAATGTGTCCTTTTTCGTAATTTATCAGAAGTTATACAGTTTTAGACTATTTTAAAAATACATTTCCTCTGTCTTTGAAGTCTTTGAAATTCAATTAATCTTCTACAGCTGATGAACAGCAGACAGATAATTGATTAACAGTTCCTTCTGTTGAGGGTCATTCACATTTAGAGTGAATCCTGTGTATGTTAATGACTGCCCATTTGCTACTTTTTATCAGCCAAAAGTACATTTCTGCTGTCATGATTAGTTAGTGTCCTGGATTATTCCTCCATTTTTAGTCGAGACAAACACTGACGACGCGCTTTCCGCTCCGCCTAATGCAGCGCGATACCGAGCGCGTTGTAAACGTGACCATGGACAGGAAAGGGAACCTTACATTACTGTTGTGTTCTGGCGCCCCTCTTTTTCAATGGTAGTCTCCCAATTTTTTTGGCGTAAGAAATCGGAGTTGTGGCGTGACAGCGTGTGAAACCGATCAAATGTGTGAGTCGCACGGCCAATGCGTGAGAGTTGGCAGTCCAGGCTATGGGCAAAGACTGGGCGGAGCTTGAGGGTGCACGTTATGATGAGCAAGTGTAGAGCATCTTGTCAGAATTTGACAGGCGCTTCACTGACTTTGCATCCATTGAGCCTGTTGTCAGCTATCTCTGTTTTCCATTTGGGGAAAATGTAGATGTGGATTGTATAACGTCCAAAGTGGCATTACTCTTCAACCTGGATGGCTGTGCTATTGAGAATGAGATCCTCACACTGAAGAATGACATTGAGCTCAAATCCAGAGCAACACCTGACGTGAATGTCCGATTCTGGAATCTAATGCAGAAAGAGAAGTACCCCAACCTCAGACAAACTGCAGAGAATTTGACTGCACATTTTGGATCAAAATATTTGTGTGAGTCTGCGGTTTCACATATGAAAATCATTAAGTCAAAATACAGATCCACCATGACTGATGACCACCTTGCAGTCTGCTTACAGCTGGCACTCAGCTCTTACTGTTCGGACTATGAGAGACTAGCTTCCTCCTCTCAGTGCCAGAAATCCCACTAAAGTAGAGAAATACAACTTTTCCAACTTGAATTAGTTCTTATAAAAGTTCAAAGAATTAGGCATTGTATTATTTGGGTTGTTTGTTGTGTTGATACGGGCCAGTCCTAGGCCTACTTGTGCTTCTTTGCACATTCACCTTTACTTAATACAATAAATGTATTATGATTGTTAAAACTGTATCTAGGTGTCAGAAAACAGTGTCCTATATAGGTGCGCAATAAATTGTGGCTACGCTACGGCTTTCGATATGGCTTGGTGGATCTTCATACACTATCAACTTTAAAAGAAGATCTTGGTTCAAAAAAGGTTGGGCACCCCTGGTTTAGCTGCTTTCGCAACTTGCTACATGAACATGAGGCCAGACAGGGATCCAGTGATGTGATCAACAATTTGATACCCCCAACAATTTTGACTGGCCATCCAGGTCGGCCCCGATACTGCATAGCCGCCGAACAGATTGCTCACTGTGTATCCATTGGTATGACATGGCAGAGAATTGAATCTTGCTTCGGAATCAGTCGAAGGACTCTATACAGACACAGACAAACTCTGGGAGTTGGGCCATTAAGATTTGCAATATTGTCAAATCAAGACCTGGACAGCGTCGTGACTAATATACTACATAACACTCCAAATGCAGGCGAAGCATACGTTCTTGGAAGCCTGAAATCACGTGGCTTAAGGGTTCAGCGTTGGCGCGTCAGAGCCTCGATCAAGTGGATCCCATCGGGCGGTCATTTAGACGCTGCCATGCCATACGTCGAAGGGTCTACAATGTTTAGGCCCCCAACCAATTATGGTGAGTTGACTTGAAACTGTTTTGTATTATCAATAAAAATAATCACTTATATGTAAAGCTTGCAAAGTAAATCAATCATTTTGAATTTAATGTACTTTATATCTCCCAACAGGCATTTTGACAGAAACCACAAGCTGATAAGATGGCGGATGGTCTTTCATGACTGTGTCGATGGCTTCAGCCGGACTATTATATACTTACGGTGCTTATCTAATAACAGAGCCTCAAGTGTCTTGCCATTGTTTTTGGGAGGAGTAGAGAACTTGTTAGCCCTTACGTGTCAGATGTGATCACGGAATGGAAAATATGCGTGTTGCCCATTTTATGTTAGAAAGAAGGACTGAACAGTCGCAGCGTTATTACAGGGGTTTTAGTATACAACCGAAGGATTGAAAGACTATGGGCAGAATTGAACAGAGTTGTATCTAGACACTTTTATAAAAAAAAAAAAATTTACTTCATGGAACAGGGTATACTGGATTCATTGAATGAACTACATCTATTTTGTCTGCATTGTTTATTTAACAAGAATTGAAAGGGCAGTAACAGAATTTGTCAACCAGTGGAAGAACCACGGCCTGTCTACACAAGGGGGGAGACTCTTCAGCTGTAACATATAGGGGTCATAAACAATGTAGGAATCCATCCCATTAAAAATGATGATAACTACGATTAATAACTACTTCCCGACATTGATGTAACCATTAATGAGACTACGATGAACAGTATTCAACAAGTGAATCCACTTGAAAACGATGGGAACTATGGAATAGATTTGTTTTCTTCTGTTCTGCATTTTGTTCTATAATGTTGTTACGTAAGGTTTTGTTAAAACATTGTTTTCTTTACTTCACTTTTGCGGTTTGCTCAGTGAAGTACAAGACAGTTATGTTAAAGTTTTAATATTGTTTATTAAAACCAAATGACCAAAAACATTTTTCTAAATGACAAGCGGAGACTGAGACAGGCAGAGGGAGAGACAGACATAAGAGACGGACAGATAAGAGACAGGGGGGGGGAAACAGACAGACATAAGCACAGATAACATGAAACACAGAGCATGATACTATGTTCACGCCTAATGGCCTGAATTCTAATAGTCTTACCTTTAACAGTTGGTATGAAAACGAGACATAAGTGTGAACATTTGTCTCAAACGTTACCAGAGTCAGTTGAATTGCGGTGTAAATACAAAATACACCATGACTCAATTTTCTTTAAAAATTGAAAACTTAACTGCCAAAGGCATCATTTAAAGGGGAAGTGGACATTCAGAAATTAAAGTTTGTTTATGCCCTGCCAAACCCATATGTGTTTCCCAGTGCAAAGTCAAACTTCTGTTTGAACAGTTGGTATGACGCATGTAGTGGCAACTTTATGTAGTTCACACATGTGTTGGCCACAAGGAACATCGGTGTAGAAGAGAAGTCGTCATCTTCGTTATGAATGAACTGTACAGAGGGAGTTGGAGAAAACCCAATAGGTGGCAACACAAATGCTCTAGTTGCAAAAGACAATATTTTCTGTAGCTTGGATGGCCCTTCTATTAAAAATAGAAAAACATTGTGAGTGCTAGTTGGTCAAATTAACGTGTATATGAAACAGCAATTTCTATCAGCTGATATTAAATAAATTGTCAAACTGATAGCAATACATTTATAAAACACCAATCACTTTTAACAATCAAGTGTTTTGTAAAAAATAGCCATAAAAGATAAATAGACACATACACTAAACTGTCAATTACCCTCTGCATCCTGGAGTCTCTCCAGAAGGGAACAACTATCTCCTCAGCAGCTCTTGTTGCTCCTTTCTGGAGACAGCCAAATGCTGAAGACATCATCCACCTGGTCAGCAGTCAGTGGGCTTGGCTCATAGCAGAAAAGGAGGCGAAAGCTTTCTGGATGCCTTCAGACTTTCTCCAGAACCCCGAGTGTTTTCAGTCCTTCACAGAATCTGTACAAAGGAAATGGAATTTAATTAGGGTTCCTAATTCACTCAGTTTTATATGAAGATAATAGATTTTGTTGGTCTATGGGTAAAATTCTGATTGCTATTCTGATTAATCTGACTGCAAACAACAAACACCTCTGAATTCCTTTGAAATGGACCTTGAACCCTGTGGATGACCTGGAACATGACATTGTCATCTACCAGCATGTCCCTGTCTCTTATTGATCGCATCTGCCTCAGACATCCTGCATTGGCCAAGTAGTCAGAGGGGCCTTTGACATCAAGTTCCTCAAGGGTAGTACTTTCACATACCTAGCATCATAACGAGTATAAGGAAAATACACTTTGCCGACTACAGTGATCTGTTGTATAGTGGTGGAATTCAAACTATAGGAAGTGAGCATTCAGCAATGAGCCGACTGGGCTATATTGGCACTCCCTCTTAAAATGAAAAAGGGCAAGAGATTATAGCAATGTAACCTAAATCTAATGCAAGATAACATTTAAACTACCAAATGACCTTGACTTTTTTTCCAAAAGTTCCATGTCAGCTATTTCTTCTAGCACTGGTTTTGCTGAACCATCAACCAGAAGAGAAAATACTGTTGGTGAGAGAAAGTTGTTTCGCCATGTACCAAGCTTACAGCAATGGCTCTGCCAGCTGTGTAGTATCGGTCCTCTCTTAGAGTTTCAAAACAACGGGATAAAAGGAAATGTAAGATTGATAAATACATAACTACCACATAAGATCATGGCGTTCATAGTGCCATTAAATAAATTGTAAATCAGTTCAAAAGCTAAAAGTTATATGTAAAAAAAATCTCCATGAATTAATAATTATTACCAGCACTGTCAAGAGCAAAGTTCTTGCCGTTTTGTTTTCCATCAAACATGGGTGACCTGGCCATTGTCTCTATCAGCAGCCTCCAGAATTCCCTCCTTGGCCCTCCCAAATCAATCCCTTCCTCATTTCTCCCCATGTCATCTGAGAATTTTACACTGATCATCAACTTTGGGTCATAGGACACCCTTTGGAATCCTCTCACGACTCCGTCCCAGACAGCAGAGCGATTTATATTAAATTTGCACTGTTGTTTTGTGCTTATTTTGCTAGAGTTCCAGCAGTATCTCTTGAACCGGGACTTTTTCTGCACTATGAAGACAACATCAAAAATAAATGATTAGATATGACATAATAATCTAAAGATGAAATAGTTCATATCAACTACCAGATCACATCATCCTCAATAGTAAACACATTCTCGGTTTGTGCTACTCACGTTGGACTCTCCATACTGGCAATTATAGCCTGGTTTAATTCCTCATCATCTGAATAGTCAACAGGAAGAACAGCAAGAAGTGTTAAATATGAAGAGTAGTCTTCATTATGACTGCTTGTGCCAGGGTTGCCATCATTTCTTGCAAGGCAGCCTCCATCGTGACCTCTAGTTCCACTTCCTTGCATTGCTGTAGGCCTTTCAACAACTCCTGGTGGCGTGTTTGATGCCATAGCCATGTTCATCACCACTGCTAGTGCCAGGGTTGCCATCTCCATCATGACTGCTAGTACAGGGGTCATCCTTACTTCTCATTGCTCCATCACTTATAGAAACCCTGGTGGTGCTAGGTCTGCCAGTGTAGATTTGTGGACCATCAACTTCCAAACAGTCATCATCCTTGTCCTTACAACTGCTTAATGTTGATCTGGTAGTGATGTGGGAACATTCATTTTCTTCATCCGAGTCAGTCTTAAACAGAAAAGACCCCAAAAATATATATCAAAAGCAAAAATTACAACTTTGAAATTAAATAACCATATTGGAAACAAGTAATTATTTGACCGATTAAAACAAGAAACCTTTGTCTGCGCTGTTCTGGTTAGATTGCTCTGAAACCTTTGCTTTAATTGAATATATATTGTATACTGCTAAAAGTCATAGTATACATGTATTTTTCAAAAGACACATTTCACTAAATAGAATTTTATTAACAAATTAAAAAAAATAAAGCAAACTTACTAAAAGGGTCCTTGATGGTCTCACATACAGGGCTTGGTTTTAAAAACCTTATGGATTAGCATGCCATTCCGCTCCTGGAGTTTAGGGGACACCAGCGTATTGCGACAAGCCATTAGAAACTGGAGGCTACAAGAAGATGGGGATATTACAACAACAAAAAATGCTTTTAGGCCATGAGTGTGTCTGTCCTTGGTTTCTTGTTCTTATTAGATATGTGACAGAGTCATGTAAATTGTATAACAAATGCTACTGTATTAGGTTTGCAATCATCATTATTTCAAACCTGTGTTTGCTTTTTAAAGTGTTATATGAAAAGATGATACAATTACGAGGTAAGACAAAAAAAAAAAAAAAAGGCTTTACCTGACATCCTTTGAAATGTGCTCACCAAAACCATCTCTGATGCGTCCCATAACAGTCTGTTGGTCCCAGGCCTTCTGGAATTCAAAGGCACTGAGGATGTGCCCATGTTTGTGTAACCGTAACTTTGGACCTTGTCTGCACACTATTCCCCATGATGGATTTGGAAGTAATATTAAGTCCTTGTTGAAATGGTCATGCTGCTGTGACCGAGCTATGAAAGAATAATGTTGTGAAGACTAAATGAAAACCGCAGATAAAAACAGATAAATACAATTCAGAGATCAGTCGTAGAACAACGTACAAACTTGTATAGAGAATATATATTTTAATGACGTCCAGTTTGACAAGAGCAATAAACTAACCATAACCCCTTATAGACCCTCCTCTGGCTGTGAACCAACCCTCCAGCTGCCTAAAATTATACATTTCCTCTCGTTTTACCGCAAAGATTTTAAAGAGCACTTAATTATAAAACTACTGCTTTTTTTTGCAGTTGCTTTTTCATATTTTGGCAGACAATGAAAGAATTTAAGTGAGGCAGCAGGAGTCTGTTCACAGTCCATGCCAGAAGGCGGTTGATTATGGGTGACGGTCTGTGGTGATTTCTTTAAGACCGCAAGGAAATGTAAACAAAAGCGGCCATATATGTACTCTCGTGTTAACAATTATTGACAAAAAATGCGCTAGAACAACTTTGTCTCGAAGGAGATTTCGTTGAGCTATCAGCAAGTCGACCGTAGCCTACGCCGAACAAAACCGAACCGCTCTGCCAAAACAACAAGAGCACCCGCGTTCTCTCACTTAACCCACCCCCAAATACGGTGCCCGAGAAGTTTCAGACAAATACAAAAGCCACAAACGCAAAATGCCACAACACAAAAGCAAAAACGGAAGTAGCTGCCCACGGGAGCGAGCATATTTTTGGTGAACCGAGCTGGAGGATGCCAGATCGTTTAAGAAGAACTTACTACTACTTCCGTTTTTGCATTTGCGTTGCGAGTTTTGCGTTGCCTTTTGGTTTGCGTTGCGGTGGCATTTTGTATTTTGTTGTGGCATTTTGTATTTTGTGTTGTGGCTTTTGTACTTTTCTGAACCTTCTCGGCCACCGTACCCAAAGATCACAACATATCCCCACAGGTGGCACTAGGATGAGCGACATAAACCATTGCGAGCCAGTCACTGAACTTTCAAACTCCGTAAAGTGCAACCCTGCTCACGGAACATGTTAACAGTCCGTTACAATACATTCCATTCACATATACACTACATTCCTGGTTTTAGTTTAACCCAATTCCCACGCTTACACCCATCCATCCATCGTCAAACCGCTTATCCTGCACACAGGGTCGTGGGGGGGCTGGAGTCCATCCCAGCCAACTTCGGGCGATAGACGGGGTACACCCTGGATTGGTCGCCAGCCAATCGCAGGGCTACACAGAGACATACAACCATTCACACTCACATTCATACACCTACGGGCAATTTAAAGTCCCCAATTAACCTGATCCCCAGAGCATGTCTTTGGACTGTGGGAGGAAGCCGGAGAGAACCCACGCAGACACGGGGAGAACATGCAGACTCCACACAGAAAGGCCACTGAGCGGAATCGAACCCAGGACCTTCTTGCTGTGAGGCAACAGTGCTAACCACCACGCCACCGTGCCGCTTACACCTTTTGAGTTAAATATTGTTCGTTGGTTCATTTGTTCATTCATACAGTAAGCTAGGCTCCTAGAGGTAACTAGCCAGCTAGCAAACTGCACACAAAAGATAATTTCGATACGTATAATTACCTTTTTCTCCTCATGCCTTTGGATGTCCACGTGCCGAAGTGCTGCTGCGCTTGATAGCGGGGTGCACGGTGCCTCCTGATTGGACCCGCAGCAGACAGCGGCACGCCGCTACGCTGCCGGGACGGAAAGAGAGCTGCTAGGTGGCGGTCGACTGTCCACACCTGGAGCAGGCGGAAACGACCGGCTGCTGCTGAACACTTGAGGCATTAGACAATGTTCTGATTGTCTCCGCTGAGGCCAATATATTGTTTAGTAACGCCTCTGCTTCAGCTAAGTTGCTTGAAGGCTGTTGAGCACATGGTTGAGCTGACATTATTGCCGCACACCTTCCATTTCCATCTGAAACACCTTCCATTTTAACTGAGATTTTCAGTAGCGCGTGAGAGAGCTTTTCAGTAGCGCGTGAGAGAGCTTTTTCATGTGTGTGCGCGTATAGCATTCCAGTAGTGTGTGTGAGAGCTTTTCATATGTGTGTGTGAGCGTATAGCATTCCAGTAGTGTGTGTGTGAGAGCATTTCATGTGTGTGTGAGAGCTTTTCAGTAGTGTGTGGGAGCGTATAGCATTCCAGTAGTGTGTGTGTGAGAGCATTTCATGTGTGTGTGAGAGCTTTTCAGTAGTGTGTGGGAGCGTATAGAATTCCAGTAGTGTGTGTGAGGGTATTCTGAATTATGTCCCTCACGGCCCCTCATACAGGACTCCCAGTCAATAACGCATGAGGAGTCAAATACATTCCAGAATGACAGTCAGTTCTTTCATTTAGAGATCACCGAGAGATGCAGATTAAGAGCAACTAACAATCCCTACACTTATTATAAACCTAAACTAAACAAACATTGAAATAAGTGTGCATACAATTGAAGGAGGGGAATCACGTGTGTGTGAGGAAACCAAGGGGAAATACTAAGGAGGGGCGAGGGGCGAGGGAAAGCAAGGATGGCAGGAATGAGTCTATTAAATCCAATAACAGAGGAACACTAGAATGCCAATCAGTGTAATGCCCACTACCAAACACTAGGGGCAAGTGAGAGCAAAATGGCAGGGAAGTGTTAAATGTAGTGAAAACTACAGAAGGAGATGAAGTTAAACGCTATGGCAACGCTATCCGTTGCTACGGCCAAGGTGGCAACTACTAACTGTAGTAACGAGTAATTGACAGACGCGAGGGAATTCTAAAGTTTCCTAATCATGCATCAGCATGGTTGGACTTAGGAGTGTGCTAGATGTACAAAAGAATAAACATCTCACGGGAGAGACCCGTAATAAAAAAAATCTAAGATCACAGAAGAAAAGCAAAACTATTCTGAACATGAAATATCAGCCAACAGAAACTGGCACTTTGAAATGGTTTGCAGCCAAATTTATCTGAAAAACCGGCAATATTTGTAGGTATCCGCATGAATTGATGCACAATGATAGAGACTCATTGATCTGGGCTATACCGGTTAATAATTAAACATCGAAGATTATGTAAAAACGCTAACATAGTCTGCCAAGAAAACCAGTCTTACCGTTTCAATGTGATTGATCAGCTTTACGTTTTTTGACGTTATTTCAGCAATTTCCAGCTGACTTCATGGTTCAAGCTCCTTAGCGGAAAACGGTTGTTACGTAATAACAAACAACCAAATTAAAAACAGAGCCAAAGTGCTTTTCATAAATTAACTGTTTATTAACATAACTGACGATTCACAAATGTGGTGGAGGTAGGGACAATATAGTTGTGCCAAATAATCAAAATGAACAAACCAAAACTAGGCCAAACTAAATCTGGCTTCTGAAAACAACAAAACTAACGGCTGACTGAGTTCTCTACAGTGTACAAAACATACAGGGAGTTGCAACCACTAAACCTAGTGTTTCTAGACAGGAAAACTCTACGTGCAAAAGTGTACAGGGTACCCCCGACTTACCTATGCCCTCTACCTCCTTACCACACCCAATTGTCAATTTCTGCTGGAACCACGTGTCTTTCCAATTCAGCTACGTCATTAGAAACAGGACAGTCCCCCTCCTTGAGAGCCCAGAGTGTGCCTCTTTTGTGTGGAGCCCACGACAGCGATTGGCCGGAAAGCGCGAGTGTGAGCCACTCAGCAGCTGGCAAACTCTGCACAGGTGGACTCCAATCACCTCCATTACCTCAGGATCCGGGAAGCACCTACAAGACAAGGTGGAGGGGCATAACAACCCAATAAAAAGCTCTGCAGGCATGTAACAACGGTAATCATGTACGGTTAAATATTACTCTCACCAAACCATAGAACCATGCAATTTACCAGTTTTATATTGGCTCTCCTAAAGCTAATTCAGCTAACAGAGAGCGTGGAAATCGCAGACACTCTAATTTTCCGGTTTCTGCCATTGCAGTTTTGTTCAAAAGGATTTGCTTACCTTATCTAGGTACCCGCGCAAGTGTTGGCCGACTTGAATCTCTTTCATTTGACCATTGACCTCTGTTCAGGAATCACGTCGGGGTTCACAATTTTTTTTAAGGAATCGTGTTCAAACTTGAACTGCAGTAGGCCCTTCTGGCCCTCGGGTCTGTCATCAAAAAAACTATTCTTATCTATTATCTGCCTAGAGATTTGTTTTGTTGTTGAGCATTTGTCCTGCCTTTACACCTGGCTTACTACTCCCAAATTTTTAATCATTTCTGTCTGTCTATGAATTTAACGTACTGTTCATTCTGTACAAA